AACACAACAAAGGATGATACGAATGAAATTCATCTTTGCTAATGGAGCAAATGTCTCCTGATAGTCAATGTCACATGTCTAAGTAATCCCCTTAACTACTAACCTTGCTTTGTATTTATTCACTGTACCATCTATATTCTGCTTGATAGTGAACACCCACTTACAGCCTACTAATTTTTTCGGGATAGGAAGAGACATAAGCTTTAGGTTTCATTCTTTCCCAAAACTTTCATTTCTTCTACAATAGTTACTTTTCACTTGGGTTTTGCAAGGGTTTCCAACCAACTCTGATGAAGAGATATAGAAAACAAAAGATGAAACAAAAGCACGGTACGAGGAAGACAAAGAGTCACATCATCAACAATATTACCACCAGGAAGCTCATTACCTTATAATGGAGAAGAGGCCTTAGGAATTGGGTCTGTAAATGATGATTGACTTGGTGGCTCATGGGTGGTGATCTACTTACCTTATCGTCGAGTGTAGCATCACAAATCCTCCCTATCTAACCATCCACATGTAGTTTGCTACCCTTGAACAAGGGTTTCTCCTTGAGGCTCCTCCTGAACAAGTGTTTCTCCTTGAGGCTCCCCTTGAACAAGTTTTTCTTCCAAACTCAAGCCCTAATAGGGGGTTACGAGTAGGAATCCATCCTGTAGCATCTCTTCTTTAATACACTGCTCCCCAAGAGGTGGTAAAGGAGTGGAGAAATATGACTTTGTCTCCTAGAATGTGACATCCAAGGAGACCGAAACGAATCAGTGATGAAATCGAAATTCTAATATTTCAAGGTGTTTTATGACGTTTCGAAATATTTTGTTATATTTTAATATATTTGCACAATTATTTCAAAAAGTTTCAAGGTATTTCAAAATATTTTGACCAATATTTAAAAAAAATAATTTTTAAATTTTTTATTTTTTTCATTCTGTTTTTGAAATAAGTCGAAATATTTTCGAAATACGTTGACATATTTTTGTTTTCTAGGTGATCGAAACAATGTACCGAAATGAAATTTTGATCCTTGGTGACATCCATACTTATGCTTTTCGGGATTGAGGATTATAACACTTATACCCTTCTTTGCAGATTAACTAATAAAGAAACAACGCAACTCCTTTGGATCCAACTTTATCTTGGTCTTTCGATAATCATACACAAAACACACACAATCAAACACCTTTGGAGGAATAGAGTAAAGAGGCACTGACCCATGAAACACCCTATAGCAGTAGCAAAATCAAGAAATCTTGAAGGTATTCTATTGATGAGATATGCAGTAGTGAGTACTGCATCTACCCGAAAGGACAGAGGGACACTCATAGTGAAAATCAAGGAATGTGCCACTTCAAGGAGATGTCGATTTTTCCTCTCTGCTACACCAATATGATTAGGTGTATTCACATAACTAAATTGGTGAAGAATTTTATATTTCATAAGATAAGTGCGGTATTCTGCATTGAAGTACTTAATCCCATTATCACTCATGAGAATCTTAATTTTTGCATCAAATTGAGTATTAACTAGTTTATGAAAATTCTTGAAACAAGTAAACACTTCATCCTTGCTATGCAACAAATAAACCCAAGTAACTCGAGTGTAGCAGTCAATAAATGTAACAAACCATCGACATCCAACAAGAGAAAAATACAACATGGACTCTAGACATCAGAATGAACAATCATAAATGACGCAATACTTCTATTATTATTACTAAGATAAAAAGTTCTTGTATGCTTGGAAAGTTCATAAGTATCACAAAGAAAATTATCTCCATTACACTATTTCATCAAAATTGGAAAAAATTTCTCTAATACTCCTACTGATGGATGGTTAAGTCTTCGATGTCATTGATGTAACTATTAGAGGGCCACAAAACTAAAAGCTGAAGTGCCAAACAAGGTTGATCCTCCGGTAGATATAGACCACCATGAGCTCTACCATTGCCAATCATTCTTCCCATTCCCAGTCCTTGAAAAACACAATGAGATGGAAATGATGTTATAGAACAGTTTAGAGATTGTGTAAGACTACTGATCGAGAGTAAGTTCGTTGAAAAATTAGGAATATGAAGCATTGAAGACAAAGTCATAGAGGGAGAACAATGAATGAAACCTTTCCCTAATATAGATGACAATGAGCCATCTGCCACCTTAATTTTATCTCTATCGCAACATAAGATTCAAGGAACTTGTCAGATGGTCAGTGGTTTTGGAATCGATAATCCAAAGATTAGGGGAGCTGGATATAGTAAAGGCACTAACATGTATACCTGTGTGAGAAAAGTTGAAAGTTGTGGGAGTGGTAGTAGATACAGAAGGGGTATCAAGCTGGGACATCAGACGCTTGAGAGTTTGCATCTCGTCTGCAGTGAAACTTACACTATCATTACCAGTAGATGGAGATAGACCACTAGGGGTAGGATCCACAATCTTAGTCATATGGGCATGAGTGCGTACTAGACCAACCCTATTACCACCCCGCCCCCTAGAAGGACGACCATATAACATCTAATAGTGGTCTTTAGTGTGCCTCATCTTTCCACAATAATCACATTTTAACAGATCCTTTTCCAAGATCCCATTTTTACCACCACCACGAGACTGAAATAATTTAGTTGCTCTCTGTGGAACAACTGCTAGAGTAGACCAATCGTGAGCAGGAGTATGAAGCATGACACTCCTACTGTACATAAGAATAGGCTTGTCTCAAGGAAGGAAAATGATCTCTACCCAAAACCTATATACGAATCTGATCATACTCTATATCAAGTCCTGTAAAAAAATCATATACTCGTTCTTTTTCTTACAACTTCGGAAACTTAGAACTACCTTCAGCACAGTCTGCTTGAAAATCCTAGTAATATTCCAACTCTTGCCACATATTACTCAATCTTGCGTGGTACTCTGGGAGAGTCATATCGTTCTATTTGCTTTCATGAATCTTCTTCTGAAGCTCAAAAATTTGCGCATCATTCCCAACCTTTGAAATTATCTGAGCCACTGTTGTCCAAATCTCACAGGATGTCTCAAGAAACAAAAAACTATGGCTAATATGAGGCTGCATCTAGTTGAGTAATCATGTCATCATCAAAGAGTTTTCAAAAATCTATTGGCTAAGATCGAGTTCAGATTGGGTTTCTTGCCCGCACTGATAATAGGCATGATCGAGATAGTTGCCTCTATCTAATTTTACTGGATTGATCTAGAGACATGTGTTATAGCCAAGAGTCTTTACACGACTCAACCCACCTTTCTCAGTAATGGTAGATTCTTCACCGACTCCAGACATGTCTAATTAGCAACAAAAAACTTTTCTAACACAATCCAACAATTAAATAGCAATTTTAGAACTAACCCAACTCCAAAAGACTTCAGTAGCAGCTGTCTACTGAGAAAAAAAGGAAAAAACCTTCACAAAAGCTTTGTGGAAGCCGAAAGGACTCAAAAAATACCAACTGCCGAGGCTTTCCAAGACTGGAGAGAGCCAGAAAATACACTGGCGAGGCTGGAAAACACACTGTTGAGGCTTGCCAAGGATGGAGGATCACTGCCAATTCCAGAAAACCAATGCTGAGATCAACCCAGTGTTGCCAGGACCCAAAAAACCACTGCCAGAGCAAAACAAAACAACGCTGGGCAAAAAACAGTGACTGTCAGAGGTCCCCAGGACACTGTCAAAGCCAAGAAATAGCCCAAAACCAACAGGCTGTGCACAAAACTCAACCAGGACCTCTAGAATGCTTACTTGGCACTCTAGGTTGTATTAGAGCAGTTGGAATGGCCAAAAATTTCGCCAAACAGTGGATCGAAAAATATTACCCTTAAATTTCAACTTACATTCCAAAATCGAAAAAACACTTCAGGTGGCTACAAAAAATTATCATCATACTGGGGAGAGAAAACCGAGTTGGATGACATCAAGTTTGGTTGTCTAAGCTGATGACATCATCATTCTGGCAATGACATTAGCGACACCAGCTGACTCCCAAGGCGATTCCTGAATATTTTAGCGACTTCAAAACCTCCTGTGCTATGATATCAAGTTGAAATCTAAAAATCTTAGATCTTAGGGTTTAGAGTGAGAAGAGACAAGAGAAGGGAGAAGAGAAGAGAGAAGAGGAAATAGGGTTTAGAAGAATGAGATTTAATCAGCCTCTTCTCTCATCACCCATATTTATATTAACTTATAATAAGGTAAGGATTGCAATAATACCCTTTACCGAAATACCCCAATATTTTACAGATTGGTATTTCAATAACCTTTCCAATGCAATTATTTTGTAATAATCAGGCTACGGTTCGTATTGCTTCGAATTCATTTTTTCACAAACGAAGAAAATATATTCAGGTTGATTGTTACCTTTTTTGTGAAAAGCTTTAATTGAAAGAGTATATTACGTTTTTGTATGGTCTACAGATCAGTTGGCAGATATCTTTACCAAGTCACTCAGTAGAGATAAAATTGGTAATATTTGTTCCAAGTTAGGACTATTTGATATTTTTAGTCCAGCTCGAGGAAGAGTATTAGTGAGTGAGGGGTAATTGAGTCATTATTTTATTCCCACTTGCATAACTATATATATCTCGTTGGTCGGTGGAAATCTATGAGTTCTATTTCCTATTCAATTACTTCTCTCTCTCTCTTTTTCTCTCACTCACATACTATATTGTTTACATTACTAACAATATATAATAAAATAAGAACTCCAACAACAACATTGTGGCAAAAGAACTCAACCATTTCCTTTCCTTGGTTGATGCATATAGAATTAATCCACATCATCATACTAGGTGCTTTACCTATACAAATGCTCACTTCAATTCCAATATTTTGATTTTGTACTCATTAAAGAGAATCGCACCACACCTAAAGACTGACTTAATAATATTATATACCTCAATGAATCGATACTCTTGACAAACGTGGGGATAAAAATATGCTTTGTGGAGGTTGGCATGCGTTGAAATGAGAATCTACTTCGGTTGGCTCATTAGTAAATGAATCAGGGCTTATCCCTCTCGGTAACCATGGGGATTATACTTTCTGTGGAGGTTGGTCAGTTGTTTATACTTAGAAATAAAGATCTGCTGTTACCATGCCCTTTGTGCTGATCAGATGATTCCACAGCCTTAACATATAGAACTAATTGGTCCTGTAATCATTGAAATTCTAATTTAGTAATTGTAGTTACAACTTTTTTTTTTATTTGTTCTTCAGTCTTGCAGAGAATCATGATTAGTGCCAATTTCCATGCTTTCACTTTCTGATAAAATGTCATTGTTAATCATTTTTTTCGAAGGTATGTGCCTACAAAAATGGAGAAGTGATCATTGATACTGCTGCTGGGGTGCTTGGAAGATATGATCCTCGACCAGTTCAGCCTGATAGCTTATTTCCTGTTTTTTCTGTTACAAAGGGTATCACAGCAGGAATGTTGCATTGGCTGGTCGACAAGGGGTATGCAATAGTGTCTGTTAGAATGGAGTTCTATATTCCGAAGTCTCTTATGTGGCGTTATTCATATTATATTTCATCTATACCAGCATGGATACTTACGTATGGGTTTCCAAAATCATCATCTTTTCCTTGTGTAATAATTGCTCTCATCTTCTTAAGTCATTCTTAGTAAATGATTTGAGTCTTTCATTTTTTTTTAAGTGAAGTTTAATGTGATTAATAATAACAATTATACATTTCCATAGGGTATATGATTGCCATACATCAAATTTACCAAGCTTTAATGAACATAGTATGGCAAGTGTCCAAGAAGAATTTTGACTAAATCATTATTTGTCGGACACGATTTGGAAAGTGTCGAATGTGTTGCAAATAAAGTGTCTTACATGTCTTTGAAATTAGGATTTGAATTTAGTTAGTTATGGACAAGACAAAAGAGTATGAGATAGGTTGTCAAGGAGTGTTGGTGCCTGATGGGTCTGACCCGGACATGTCGCCTTGTTACAAGTGTAAATGCTTCTTAGCAGGTGGATATTACTTTGTAGAAGGTGCTATTATTTTTTTTTTCCCGGTAAGTAAGGTGTTATTGATTTATTATAGTTTTTGTTCATATATATTCTATGGAGCCTACTTGGAGATTTGGTCGAAGGAATTAATTGCATTGGCAAGCCTTTGTTCTATTAATGAGAAGATTTGCTTTCTAGACAGAACACTAGAGTAGATCTTCGCTTAGATCAGCTAACCAAAGCCTCATCAGTACTTCTGGGGACTATTTGATTTTTGTTTCACTGATGTGCTTTGACACATAGTATCTACTAAATCACTAGTTAGCGTATCATTCATTACAATCCTACTTCGCATTAGAATGAATCTTTCCTTTCCGTAGGATTACCATAGGCAGTGAACATGTCTTTTTCAAAGCTAGTTCAACAATTGCTCATCCCTAAAGGTGCTCAAACTATCAAGTTTCTCACATTTTCAATTTATCCATCCATGGATTACTTTATCTCAACTGTTATATTTGGCCCCACTTATCTTTTTGGTTTTTTTAGGTGTGCATATGTTCGTCCATGAAGTACACTCTTCTATGATCTCTCATTGTTCTTTTTGTCTTCATCTTCTAAACTAAACATGGTATCAGAGCAAGGTTGAATCCAAATTTGATCTCAAATTTGCTTTTGGTGCTGAATATTTGAGTAAAACCCTCTTCTTGTTCTCTTCCCCTAATTTTTTTTTTTTTTTTGGTTCTCTGCATTCTTTTACTGTGTTACTAGTGCAACCCACGACCATGGGCCTGGTTTGCTGAAGTTATTTGTGTAACCAGTGGTCGTGGGTGGTGTTTGGACATTGTTGTTGACTTTGTGATGGGTAGGAGTTATGGCTGTCATTCTTGTCTGTGCATGGGTTGGAATTGAGGTGCTCGTTGTCGCCTCGTACGCTGATAATAGCATGTCTCTTAGTCAATTTTTTCTGTTTTGTGGCTGTTTCATCGCAGGAGGTTTTGTTGATTGGTGTTGTGATTGTCGTTGGTGCCGTTTTAGTGTGTTGTTGTCGTCGCTGGAGTATATCTTTACCCTGTGCTGTCGGGAGCTAGGGTTTCTTCCTTGTAGACAACATGAAGATGAGATCCACTTCTCATCTGGATCGACTTGGGGTTCTAATCTCCAACCGGTTGAAGATTAAGCCCAATCAGATCTTTGTTGACACAGCCCAATCAAAGCTTTGGGCCTACCATAGTCTAGTCCCTAACGTCATACACCCCAAGCCCAGGCCTAGGAAAGCCCAAGGCCACTGGTTTAGTGATCCAGATCCACCCAGGTGAGTCCAACTCATCCAGCCCAAGATTGGTTCATATTGAAACCAGATCCTATACAGTTCAATCCAGTTCAGGCGGTTCTATCGTTTTTCCCGTCGGTTCTGTCCGGTTCAGTGGTTTTTCCACCAGTTCATCACACCTCGTTGCACGCAGAGGCCTTTCCGGCTGCTTCAGTGGCCTTTCAGGCCCGTTCACCCACCCAATTTTGCCTATTTTCATTCCAGTTCAGGTAATAATTGGCTTTGATCTGTGTTGGCTCAACAGCTGTGTTGGTTTTCTATCTTCTGAGACACTATTCTTCTCTTGGACTGTTTTTGGCATTTGGTAACTGTCAAGCCTTGGTTTGCAAAATCTGTGGTGTCAATATGAGGTCGAAGACCAATACTCAACAACTTAGAATCACTCACCAGAGTTAGTGAACGGCAACATAGTGATAACCAGAGTTAGTAACAACACTGGCAGCATACTAGCCGGAGTTGCTCTAAACAATTTGCACCGATGTACACTTGCTTAGCCGAACCAAAAAATCTACTCAGATTCTTCACAGAGCAACCCAACAACTTAGAATCACTCACCTGTGTATCCAAGACACCAACCCACACCTTTTAGGTTTGAGTTGCAGCAACAAATTCGACAAAAAGTAGTGAAAACACCAGATTGAGGAAGTTTGAAAATATTTTTCAAAAAATATTCAAAAAATGGAAAACCTATTAAATGACATGAAATTGAAAACAAACCATACCAGGTCAAAGCCCATACAAAACCGATCAAGACAATGGATGTAATCTTCTCTAGTTGATAGCACCATGATGATGTCATCATCTATACGGATGATGTCACCCCTTTGTGAACCCATATTTTTTTTTATGAAACCTATTTGTATTTCTACACGTGTTTAGGAGCAAAACATGCTCTGATAACATGTAAAGTTCGATTGCATAATCAAAAGAGAAAGGAGAATAAGAATGATATTAAGGCTCCATTAGCATAGTTGTTAGTATCGCACGATATGTTATGATACGGAGGTAAAACAATACGGATCGTAGTTTTGTATTGTTTTTACGTTGTATCATCCGATACACGATACGTTTTTACGATACGATACGTATCGGTACGATACGAATGATAAGCGCAAAACCTGTTTAATTTTTTTGGAACGTCATTTTGTCTAAATAAGAGACTGATTTTTTTATCCCTGCCACTGAAATGATGTCATTTAAGTGGCTAGAGTTTACAAAAAAAAAATAAAATCCCTTTTTTCCTCTCATCTTCGGTGTTCGTTGTCTTCCTTCTGGGACTTGGGTGTCTTTAGACCTCATAGCACAAAGCAGCCTTCGACCACGTTCTTCAGACTTCACGACGACGAAACACAACAGATTTCTCTATTCCGATGAAGTCTAACCCCTCTCTCTCTTCTCTTTGTTGTTGACGATGACGAACCTAGTCTAGCCCCTCTCTCTCTTCTCTCTATTCTCCATCTTCTCTCTCTTCTCCCTATTCTTCATCGACAAAGACAGCAAAATTTGGGAAGCCATTGAAGCAGCCAAGCCATCGAAGCAGCCCCAGATCTGTAGCTGCAGATGCCTTCTTTTTCCTTCTCCAGCTATTCCAGCTAAACCTGTGCAATGTAAGAAATTTTGTTAATTTATTTATAAAGCCAAATAATTTTTTTTTTGTATAAAAGCTTTTGAATCTTGATTAATTTTAATTTTGTGAAACAGTGGCATCACCAGCATCCTATTTTTATATAAAAATGACTAAAAAATTTGCTAATGATCTCACATGGGAACATTGTGACAAAGTAGAAGGATCAA